TAACACAATCTATTGATGCTTTGAAGCTTTCATCGTGTTTTGGAATTGACATATTGAGGTCAATCCTACAATTTGTGGTACAGCTAATAGAGCATGAGCAAAGTAGATAGAGTACAATATTCTTTTTTCCATTAAAGTTCAACACTTTAATTTCAAACCTGATTGGTTTTCAAATGTCAAAATTAAGTCATAATTAAACGTTATCAAACTTTGTATACTTACTAATTTTGAGGTGGTCTTTTTAGTGATTTGGTTCATTTTTTAATTTGAACACTTTTTAACACTCGTCCCCAGTCCACTAATAAACTTCGGGATGGCTAATTGCTCGCCTGCCAAACTATTGGCTCAAAAAATGCGCAAATTTTGGGAAACTGGCTCTAGAATGTTTTTATAATTGAAAAATCAACAAAATGACATTACATTTTTCCAAAATCATCGAAGTACATATAAATTCATCCATATACATATCAGGTCTCGAATTTCCCTGAAATCAATCGACGGCAATGGCGTTAAAAATTGCCGTAGAACGTAACAGCTGTCTACGGCAATTTTGGCAGTTTCCACGGCATTTTTCAAATCACTGTAATAAAACTTTAATTTTATTGTCACTTTGGATTTTTGACAAGCTAGAAACATGTCTACGTATTTCTTTAGTGTTTTTTTTTTCGAAGAAAACTGAGACTAAAATAGTGATTTACGCATGATTTGATCAACATCTGAATTCGAGTATCAAAGTAGTAATGCACAGTGAATAGTATAAAAATTACACTACACGGCAAAAAATTGCCGTCGTTGCCGCAATGATCCACGGCATTTTGTTCTCCCTCTACGGCAATTGCCGCGATAAAATTCGAGCCCTGATACATATAGTAGGATATTTTTATTTTGATACCGTTTTTCGATATTTGTTAAAAAAATGGGGCAACAGCCTATATTTGCTGGCTTTTGAGCATGTGTAAAAATATGTTTCCATATCTAACAGGAAAACAAAGAAGAAGAAAACAAGTTCATCAAAATCTTCAAAGTCTGATGCAAATGATGAAGATAAATCGAACACGGAAACTGAAATAGTAATGAATCCAGCCAATGGTCAAGAAGTTGATCAAGTATCCGGTTTTGAACGAGGCCTTGAAGCTGAAAAAATACTTGGTGCTACAGAAGTTGATAACGAAATCCATTTTCTTGTCAAATGGTAAAGTATACATGATGTCATAATTTTGATTTAAAGAAATTCGGCAACTACCAAAAATACAACATGTAGTCCCAGGGAATATGCCATAGGTTACCCCAATTACGGCGACCCCTTAAAATTAATCACATAATTACATTACCATCAATAACGAACAATCTAGACAGTAGAACAAACTTACATAATGACATCAAACAACTATAAACATCTTAAAACACCATCCAGGGACCTGGCCCTTCTACATTTAACACATACAGATTTCCATGTACGAGGATCATCAATGTTGTATAGCGCGTTCATATGATAACTCTGTAGATTTAAAAGCATGCAGTCCAAAATCTCTTTGACGAAGGTCGCAACTTAAAATGTTTCGTGTCTTGCATGCTCTAATAAAGTAAGAAATCCGAAATGTAACAGTTTTGCAAATGGTATTGTCCCCGAGTACTAATTCCGCCCGGCTATTTACACCCGGGGAAAGGAAAGCATTAGCGAAGTCTAAAGTTCGTCAATAATCGTGGGTGCGTGACTATGGTATGGTTAATGGGTGGACCTCACTGATCTCAAAAATATAGCTGTTTCCCCAGGAGTGGGATAAGTAAGATTTCAAATTTCAAAAACATATTTGGAAAGTCACGTCTCACACAACGAGCTTTCAAGCAATTTTTGTTTGAAGAAATAAGAAGAATTGATTTACTATGGGAAATCGTGAAATATAGGGCAAGTTTGCTTTGAATGTTTATGAATTTTGTTGCTTTAATTCCTTTTCAATGAAGATGTAAGTTTCCTGAATTACCCTGTTTAATTTAAGAAAAAAGGCAAAATGTAAAGGATAGCAAATTAATTTGAAGACCTAACTGAGATTACTCAACAATATGAACTTATTTTGTTATAGGTAAAAACAGTTTATCGATCGGCAAAAGCAGTTTAGTTGAATAAACATTTCAAAACATTTTACGCTCCGTTTCAGATGAAATTTTACATTAAATCAAAGCTCACAAAAGCAAAATAACATACCTACAGTACATATTTCAGAAATTCATTGTTATAATACAATTTCCTAAAAATTAAGTCTAAACGTGTGGAACAATTACAATCCAAAAAATTGTCATGCATATTTAACAGAGAAAAAACATACTGAAATTCAACACAATTATATGTACATTTCTGATTATAAATTTCGGATTTATCAGACTCTGTGTGTTCATTGATGCGTTTGTAGAGGCATCTGTCCGTTTTCCCAATATAGGGAGAATATCACCCAGGATACGACAATTTATATACAACCGATTCTATACAAGGTTTAGAATTTTTTGGGATGTAAATGTGCTTGCATCAACAGTTTTACAGTGAGTGACAAACTTGACTGGTTTCTTAAGTTCTTAAGAAGCCGAGAGATCTTACTGTACGTGTGCAGTTTCGATAGACAATGACCGGCCAAAAATGCCTCTTTGTCACCTTTTGCCTCGCTGGTTACTTTCACTGATCGTATTGGATGTCTTATAACAGAATTTTAAATCATTTATTTTCTTCGGCATTTCTGCTGAAATAAAGTTACGGAAAACTGTATATTTCATGATCTTGAGTATGCAATTTAACTGCAACCTCCGGTTACGCGCGACAAAAACATTGGGGTTTTTTTTGTGTTTTTTTTTAATTTTATTAACTTTACAATCATATTATATAAAAATACACATACAGCTATGATTGAAGGATTGGACAACAGAACTAGAATCCCATACTAAGTCCATCCATCTAACACTAAAACACGACATATTACGGACTACAAACTGGACAACGTAAATACTGATTTCACAGGCCTTTATACTATATAAAACATGCAAGAATAAATACATAACTGCACTACTGTGAAATTATTTGTGAGGTTCAGTTTTGACCCCCACCACCACCAATACCACTAGTTAGAAACCACTAACCACTTACATGCAAACCAGGTCAGCGCGAGGTAGTGATAGCGGTAATGGAAGTCAAAAGCGAGTCCAGCCATTTTACACCAGACTTTAGTCCTAACAACACGTATTTTACAATATAAACATGCAAGAATAAACACTACACTATCAAAATTATTTGCGAGGTTCAGATTTGACCACCACCACCATCATCATCACTAGTTGGAACCACTAACCACTTACATGCAAACTAGGTCAGCGCGAGGTGGTGATGATGGTAGTGGAAGTCAAACCCAAAAACCTCGCTATTTAACACCAGACCAGCTACGAACAGCAGGTGATATTGCTCGAGCGACACTTCATGCAAATAGTTTTCCATGTCCTTGGACGCTCAACATCAAAGTCCTAGTTTAGTTTGTTGTTGCGCAAAACATAAGTATTTGCTAGTTGTAGTTGAAAGGTTTCGATTTCAGTAAATTGAAAAAAAAATAGTTGAAAGTCTTGCATGCACTCCTTGCCTACTCCATGTGATAAGGTTTTGTCCGAAACCATTGTAATAACGATGACAACGTTGACTCCTTTACAATGAAATTACTAATGTCTTGAGCATTTATGCGATGTTGTTATTTGTTTCACTGTAACTATATGCGTATTAAGTAATCATATCTCGTTGGCCAGTCATTTTGACCGGCAACCTGTTATTTTAATCCTGCACAAATAGCTTCTGTTTTGGAGTAATGTATATTTGGAGCATATTTGTTTTGTTGTATATTTTGTTTTGCAATGGGGATGATTAGCACTAAAACTGTTGCGTGCAACCTGTTTACTTACAACTTGAGCTGTACTGTGGAGATTAAGCACACAATTCGCATGTGACAACGTAGTATCAACGTAGCATCGGAAATGTGCATCGTCTAAAATGATTTACCTGAGTTCTAACACTAGTCATAAGAAGTTATATTTCCAACATTTTCAGGAAAGGCTCAGATGATGCCGACTTAGTACTTGCCAAAGAATGTAACACCAAATGTCCACAGACAGTTATTAAATTTTATGAAGATCGAGTTACATGGATACAAAAGAATGAAGACGATGGTGACAAAGGTAAATATCCAGTGCTACCAAGAGCAGAGGGGAACTAGCCAGGATTATCAATCTACCCGTCCATGCAAAAATGTTTCCCTTGGGATAAATTTGAAATCAGATCTTTATCTTCTAAAACCGTGATTTTAGCAGTCAAAAGAATACGTGTAAAATTGCACTCAAAACTGAAGAGCAAACAGCATAGTTGACCTCACCAATCACAGTTAATAGAATACATGGTTTGGAGACTCGATAAAAGTACAATATAACTCATTAACTATGTTGGTTTCGGTTTATGCAAGAATTTGGGCCTATCTCGTCACGTGTCTATTGTATTTTTTCCCGCACAACCAATAGCAATGCTTAAACTGAGCATTTGTTCAAGTTACGGATGGATAACTCAACCACAAACTTGTTATTGGTTATTTGAGCGAAAATACAATACACACGTGACGAGATAGGACCAAATTCTTGCATAAAGCTGGACAATAACATAGTTAATGAGTTATATTGTACTTTCATTGAGTCTCCAAACCATCTATTAAAATAACTGTGCACCAATTGCCGAAGTTTTTGTTAAAAACAAAATATTTCGCTAATATTTAGGGATGTAACTTATTTGCTTGTGGATGTATGTGCAGGGATGTGCAGTGACTGTTGAATGTGATGTTATAGCATAATTTAAGCTTGTATATGGTTGTATTAATTACTAAAGACAAAAATACAAAATACTGGAGTTTTTTTGCCCGTCCACATTAAAAAATACACGTCCAAATGACGGGTGGACGGGCCTCTGGTTAAGCCCATGCCCAAAATAGAGAATCATGAGACAACCTTCACTTGCTCGCCATTGAGCAAGCGGGCCTGCTGTTGGAAATATATGATGTCATTATGAAATATTTTGCCCTCTCCATAAAATGTCTTGGCCAAACTTCATAACAGGTTCCATTTTCCTCAGTCATTGATAATTTTGGGATCATCCTCATGACCCTGATATACTTATCTTTTTAAAAGTCTTAAATTGGAATAGGCCAAGACCAGTTTAAATCATTGAAAATGTCGTTAATAATTAAACCTTTAATTTATTGTTGTGTTGGGGTTTTTTTCTAGACGAGGAGTAAAGATGTAAGTATTAGTTGTTATGTATCATCACAGAGAAAGGATATTAAGAACAGTGCGTCCTGGTAGCTCTTTATATAAAGTGCTGTAAATAGCAAGAGACCTGAAGAAATGTTTTTAGATAACGTTGGTTGGAATGACATTGTAAATTGCTATATATACTTACAGTATAGTAGTGTTGTACATGCTCATTGTAACAGGATGTTTAGATCCAGTGGGAGTTCACGCACTAAATAAGAAGTTTATGTTCGGAAACCTCTAGAAGGAACGCAAGATCTCTATGTTTTCATGGAGATATACTAGCTTCAACATTTATATTTTTTAAACTTACTAACAGTAAGAGATTTTCCGACTGTGTTGTAATGTATCAAATTTCACAAATAAAATTTTCCTGCTCGTTCCTACCATATGATTTTGCCAAATATATTGGTGGTGTTCGAGCAGATTCTACCGAAGATTATACTGTTATGAATTCCGTACTTGCACTGGATGTAAACGTCCCTATATTTCACATTAAATTAAACACTGTTTACACAAGACGTGATTACATTCTTCGTTACTTGCTTAAATAAACGCATGTACTTCACTGCAGTGTTGTTTAGTCATGTAAGAGACAAACCTTTTAATTTCGTATTACTATACAGACTAACAAATCAACCTGGTGTTATTGGGAGAAGTTGATAAGAACCGATGAAATAAACAAACATGAAAACAAATATAGGCTTTCTTCGAGTAGTGGTTAGGAAAAAAAATATGTGGGAGGTAGTAGGGAAGTGAGTGTTCTGGCGCATTTTCCCGAAAAATCCCGAATTTCTCAAATTTTGGAAATCGGGTGGTGGATTCTGGTGCATTTTGCAAATGCGCTCCCAAGACCTTCCCAGAACCCCTGAGAGTTTTGACACATTTCCCCCAAATCCCTCCCACCACCCAATCCTGGCGCATTTCCCGAATCGTTCGCTAGGATACTTGACTTTCGCAGCTGCGCCTTTGGCTCACCATCCCTGCCCGCGACTCGCTGCGGTCGCTGCTTTGGTAGTATTCTTGGTCTTTATGGTAACTTTGTTGTGTTTTTTCGCTAGTGCTTGGATTGTCTTAGTGAGTAGTTGTCTTCGCAGAATGGTCAGCCCAAGTGTTCAACCTTTTCGTCGTCGACTCGATTCCTGACGTTCTCCATCATCTTTCCACAGACGTTGTTATTCATTAGCTTGAAAAAATCCTTCTCAAAGTTTGTTTTTCCAGCTGTACGTAGTTGAGTTTTTAGTTTGATGTAGTGTTTTAACCAAGCTTCTTCCCTGAACTTGATTCCCCTGTGGATATTCTTGACGACGAGTCCTTTTTGAATATAGTTTTTGAGAACTTTGTGATGTATTACATAGTTCGTCTTGTTATCCAAATTTGGGAGTAGTTTTTGGACTTTACCAACCGTTTTTCTTTCCGGTGCTAACGGGTAGCAGTTCTGGTAGTTATGCAACGACTCTGGACATTCTAGATCAACTTCTAGGAAACACGGAATGTTTTCCCAGTTGTTAAGTTCGTCATCACATATCCACTTAAAACTGGCGACCGGTAGTTTAAGGTCTACGATAAAGATACGACCCTTTGACTTGTCATAACCTACTAGGTATTTGTTGTTCGCATTTGAGTATATCTTTGAGATCATGCTGATTCCTCCACGTATCCCGTTTTCAATCATCAGATACATGTTTGAAGCTGAGATGAGTTCGAGTGACACTTTTGTTATCTTCAGTGCAGCACAGTACGCCAAACCCGGTGCGTTTTGAAACCACGCGGGATCAAGTCCGTAGTTAGCGAACGACATTTCTCTGAATTTTTGGAAGATGTCTGCCAGCAGCAGGGCGTCCATTTTCAGATAGACAACGAAGTAATCCATTAATGTTTTACAGTTCAACTTTTATTCTAATTAATGTCCTCACGGGTTGTGGTTCCCCATGCTGGACTTGTATTCCAAGTAATGACGTCAGGGATCGTAGTTCCCCATGTTGGACTTCTATTCTAACTAGTATAACAAAAAGTTAGTGAAATTGCTGCCGTACGTGTATTGGCGTTGCAAACTTGCGAAAAAGTTAGCGCTTTGATTATCTTATTTTTGACATGGAGGCCTGGTTTACCAATCGGCAATCGCGTCTCAATGTCAGTGTTACATGGCCGTAATTCGTCATCAAAATGACGCCATGGTGCTAGCCAGTGCGCTGAGAGGCATCACCCTTGATAATATTCAAAATGGCGGAGCGCACTGGGTAGGACCATGGCGTCAGCATTTTGATGGCGAATCATGTGGCAGCATCGTGTAGCAGCTGCAATGCTTTACAGGCAATCCACAACCAAATTTGTTAATTGTTCTGAATATAGTACTAATATAGTGATGGGTTGTAGGAGGTATTTGAGCAGTTGTAATGAAATAACTTGCAATACTCTACCAATAAAAAGTTATATATTTGGCTAGGTGATTGGCAGCTGATGGGTTATTACCCATTCTAATAACAAGTAGATTTAACTACTGACATGTAATTTTAATAGATTGTTTGGCCAAGTAAAACAGTGAATGCAATGTTTCAAAGTTAATATATCGTTTATTTCAGATGCCAATTGTCAAACAATTAAACCGTGTAGACAAACCAAATATTGTAAACAAACCAAATACCGTAAACCAACGATTATAAGCCCTGGGCTTATATTAAGTTCGTAAGCGTTTGTTGATGGGCTTATACATAGCGGGGGGGGGGGGGGGGGGTATTATATACAGGTGCTCACATCAGCACATTAGGCCAAGTAAAAAATATATATGTTTCTCGTCCCCGCCCGCTTCCTTTTTCTTGGCCGCTTCCTTTTTTTTTTGCTGGTTTTCTTCTACAAATTTCGCTTCGTGTTTTTGAACTTTCTTTTTGATAACTTGAAGCTAACTTGAAGTATTAATCTGGAACTACTGCGGGCTAATTCAAAATCCTATCCGCTGACCAAATTCAACGCTGTTCAAATTTAATACGTTACGAGACATTAAAAAAGTTACTTTAAAAGGCTTTTATAATTGACGTTTTTAATATTGCGTGTATTTTTCTTACTAAACTGTATGAAAGCTTATTACTCTGGCTGAGAAAAAAAAATGCCCCGCTTCCCTGCTTTTTGGCAGAAATCCGGACGAGAAACATAAGGTTTTTTTTTTACTTGACCTTTAATATATTATCGAGAAAAGGACGTCTGATCATGCCTGATAGATCATTGCTTCTCACACTATATTCAGGCACAATATTGCTCAATTGTTATCCCCATTTAACCAAATGCAATATATTCTATCACTGGGACTTGATTTATCAGCAGTAGTAATAGAGGTCTGTAAAATTTGCAGTTTTATATAATATACTGTAGCTCTGAGTCACGTGATACCTTCGTACAACGGATCTCGTTTGTATCCGTTTGTTTGTTTAGAATTGATGTAAATTTTATTTGAGTTGCCTGTTGCCACACCGTGACCAACACGCAAAGTGTCTGATCAATATATTGATCAGCGACAGCTTGAACACAATGATTCCCAACACCAAATATGCACTGTCAGGTTTATAAAATCAAACGCGGGCCTATATAAATAGAAGAAGAAATCGTCAAATCTCCTGAAAATTCTTCGTAAACTAAAAGGATCATAGATAATGCTTTGATCTTACCTTAAATAAATGACTTTACAAGAAGATATAATTCTTAAAAATCGCAATATTTGCTAAATACTTGCCAACTTGTAAGTTTCGCCCTCGTGCTAAATCTTGGCAAGTCCCGAAGAGCAGCCGGTAGCTTCTGTAAAAACCCGTCGAATCTTCTACGTCACAAAACGTCATAAAACTGAACATCCAAACATTGCTCAAATCCAAATCATTGTCGCATTCATATAGCTCGGTAAAGAGGTCTGGGAACAAATCACAAGAATAGGAAGCTGCCTGCGGCAGCAATTAATGACCTCAGAGGTCGTGGTTCCCCATGTTGGACTTCTATTCTAATTAATGTCCTCAGGGGTCGTCGTTCCTCGTGATGGACTTCTATTCTAATGTCCTCAGGGGTCGTGGTTCCTCATGTTGTACTTCCATTCTAATTAATGTCCTCAGAGGTCGTGGTTCCAACTGTTGGACTTCCATTCTAATTCCATTCTATTGTACTTCTATTTTAATTAATGCCCTCAGGGGTCGTGGTTGCCGATGTTGGACTTCTATTCTAATTAATAAGGGATCGTTGTTCCCCATGTTGGACTTCTATTCTAATTAATGTCCTCAATGGTCGTGGTTCCCCATATTTGACTTCTATCCTAATTAATATTCTCCGGTCGTGATAATATTTAACGGAAAATGGTTTGGTTGTCCTCCTTGGATAGTCCTTGCATAACATTAATATACACAAAATTAGTTGTATATCAGACCAATCACCCACTACTTGTAACAGCATGAACGGGTGGGTGCGAATTTTTTTCTCGCCACCAAGACATGGTTTGCACTTTGGGTACTTGTCAAGTGAAAAGTGAAAGCCCTTTGAATGTATCGACCTTTGCTCCTGGTAACTAACCAGAAAACCTCACGGTTAATTTAGTTACCAGGCCCAATATTTATTAAACAGTGTGTCAACTATTCATATTTATTATTCTACTTATTATTTAAGAATTAATTGTTGATATTTGTAATTTTCAAAAAGGGCAAAATATATTTATTATTATTATTACTATGATTGGTCAGTTAGGCCATAGCCTATCGAAGGGAAGATGGCTGTGAAACTCATTAGAATAACAATATAACTCATTATCTATGTTGGTCAACTTTTATTCATAAATCTGGTCCTTCACCGTCACGTGTGTATTGTATTCTTGCCCAACTAACCAATAGCAATGTTTTAGGAAAGTCACCTATCCGTGACTCGAACAATAGGGAAACTGGAAATTGCTATTGGTGGATTTGGTAAAAGTACAATACATACGTGACGGTGAAACGACCAGATTTACGAATAAACGCTGACCAACATAGATAATGAGTTATATTGTTATTCTAATGAGTTTCACAGCCACTTCCTTTCGATAGGCTATGGTTAGGCTTTCATTTGGTTTTCACGTGTCCTGAACTTCGAATGTATTGTTTCATTAAATTAAATTTATAAATTGTTATATATAAATTTGCTTTATAAATCAACACTAGAAATACATGCATGCAGCAACCCTCGCCTATATTTTCCAAACATTTGTTTAACATGAAGTATAAGCAATTGACCAACACTCAACGCAGGCTCGCGTTGTTGAAAGATTAGTACTAACAAATGCTACTAACTGGAAAACAAAAACATTCGGAAATATATACTGTAGGTATGTTATTTTGCATTTTTCAACTTACTGCTTTTGTCCAACCCTGGAATCGTGGCAAAACTATTATGGACAACGCGAGCACAAATGAGAATACATGCTTTGCCCTATCGCAAAAACAGCATTTAGTAGTCCCCTCACCCCCCCCCTTTCAATTTTGAAATGCTAACACATTGAAGGTGAAATGAAATCAACATTGCATGGGGGTTCTAAACACACCAAACATGTCCATATGAACATTCATATTTTAGTTCAGCTAAGTGTCCAGATAATTTTTGCCATGTTTCTACATATAGCTTCCTGTGAAAAGCAACCGGGGGCAATGCGGCGACTTCAAATGCCTAAAGAAACAAGTGGAAAATTTGAATATAGAGGCAGAGAGATAGTATGCATTGTAAAGACGAATTGGAGGGGAAGTTCTTGGAATTAGAAATAGCTTAGAAATTCAGACTTTAGCAGGGAAATAGTGGAGATGGAAGAACGATGAAAGAGCTCAAGAATAGAGTAACCTGGGGGATATTCCTATGCCCCTTTCATCTTTTCTTGCTTCTGCTTGAAGTATATTCTCATGTCAGCTAATTCAATAAAGGTTGTCCTTCCAAAAACGTAAACCTTAAACTCTGAGCGCGCAAAGGATGATGGGTTATTGCTTATTTAGACTCATAAACTTTGAAATTTGGCTTTGCATGCAAGAATACCTAAGACATATAGAAGACTCACGACAGAAAACATACTTGCTGCAAGGCATTCGAGTTTGAAGGCCTAACAGGTGAAAATTAACCCATCATCCCTTGCGCGCTCAGAGTTTAAGGTTTTGACAGGACAACCTTAATTAAATGAATCACCTGTATCTATATTAGTGCACAGATCGGAAGCCTTGCGTATCAAATAGTGTAGAATCTACTCCATCGTGTTGAAGGGATTTGTAAATGGATATTTTGAGTGGAATTTTTGTATTAGACTGAATATGTATTAGACCAGGAGCAGTTGCGAAAAATAAAAAATGTCACTATTGGTATTAGTCAGTTATAGACCTGGAGCGAGGGTTATTCCACGGAAAAAACACCCTGAGGATGAATTACCCAAGGGCGAAGGTATTTTTTTCTGAGATATGTTCCTCAGGGTATTTTTTATGAAATATGTTCCGAAATCAGGACATGAATAATCCCCAAACAATAAATGTAAAAATAAATTGAATGTAAAGAAAAAATACACGCAAAATAAACCTTACAAACTCTCGTAAACCTTTCGCTTGAAAACCAATCACATGTTCTACTGGTCTGTCCCGAATCAGTCCAAAGAGTTCCAATGTCTGTCCCGCGAGACATGCTATAGTCATGTGGTACAAAACGTAGTGCTCTAATTGGATAAGTTTAATGTGAGTGCTTAGGATTAACATATTTGTCCTATTTTATTAACTGTGATCAGTTCAACCGCCATGAATGCATTTTCTGTTGTCTTGCCATTTGAATTCACTGGGTATTTGGTGCAAAATGTTATTCGAACTCTCCTTACTTCATGTTTAGAATTAATAATATTAGTTACTGATACTAAGAAATGAAACTTTCTTATAATTATAGTATTTACTCACAGATTCAATAATAATCCTGAAGGACCACGAAACCGTTGGTAAATGATCCACCATATGTTGTAGTTTACTAGAAACTATATATTATTGTTTATTTAGTCTTCATAAACTTGTCACATAAAACTTTTCATTTCATTTCGTAATTATATACAATTTTGCAAAGCATTTTTTTATGAAATTACATTGGCGCAAAGGTTTCTTCCCCGAACATGTTAGGAGTGATAAATTCCATCGGTTTTGAATTATTTTTTGACAATCCACAACCCAATGCAACTGATATTTCCGCATGTATAAAATGTAAAATAACAAGTCTCCGCAGGCATTTCGTGGGCTTTTTTTATTTTGGCACGACCATGCACGAGGGAGAATAGAGCGCTATTTTCAGAATTTGGAGCCAATGGAGGCTATTTTACACGTAACAACTCTTCTTAATCACAAACCAATCCAAGAGGCGTGGTTATCTAACTCATCTTACAGGCCAGTTTGTTTTGCTTTTTCTCTCCTCTACTCCAATTTCATTGTTTTACTCACGTTTGCTTATATTTACTTTTCTGATCGATAAAAACAATCTGAGTTGCCTGCGGTTGAGCTAGCGGGGCATAAATTCACTTAAATATAGTACAACTAAAAACATTCTCCTTTATCAGTAGCTACATACAACACATTTATAAATCTGATGAACGTACGTCATCGCCGGAACGCATTGGCAAAAACGTTTGTCGTATAAGGCTATATGAATCTGTTTTTTGTAACAATGCCAATGGTCAAATAGCAATATGGACGATCTTTACTGCTTCAAAATACTAACTTTTGCCTATTGTCTTTCATCATTACAAAAATAGCTACTTGAGAATATATTTGAAAATATTTACAAATGTTTAAAATAACTGCGTATACGTGTGAACTATGTATGATACAATGTTTCTACTCTTATATATAAATAATTATAAATTAGTTCTTGGTTCAGGCATAATGTTTTCAAGTCCACTAGCATGATCTTGAGGTAAATATACTCCTGGAACTTTCTTCTCGGGTTTCTTGCCTCCTTTCACTCGTTTCCATTTCATCCGACGATTCTGGAACCAAACTTTGACTTGTCGTTCCGTGAGATCGAGGCTCACAGCGATCTCGTAGCGACGTAATCGCGTCAGGTAGTTGTTGCGGTTGAATTCATTTTCGAGTTCTTGAATTTGATGTTTCGTAAACGCCGTTCTTTCCTTTCTCTTTTTGGTTGACTTGCATGAAGAAATTTTGTCTGAAAAACAATCATTTTGAAAAAGTTAAGAAAGTTAGCGGACCAAGATCGAAGTATAAGGCTGGTTTATACTATCAAAGTTTCTATAATCACAGTAGGTTTCTCAGTCAGATCCAAATTTATAACACTTCAAAACTATTGAGTACTGGGCCGCCAACCTACTTTCTGTCCCATATGGGGGTAAGCTTAAATGTCCTATATACAAAGGGCAGCAATGTTTTGTTCAATCTAAAGATTGCAATAGTAGTAGTACTAGCTCCATCATAATAATTTTTGGCGGCAAGTATTGCACAATTATTCGTATATAGGCTATAGCGATTATTGTAGAGACAACAACATTCAACAACATTAATAAAAATCTGAGCTAAGATGAGCAATAAAACTACCCAAAACGTGGCAAGTTAAATATAAAGGCCGGATTGTATACCTTTGTATAATGCTAGATTTTTAAGAGTAATCAAACTAATTTATATTCTAATTATTTTTTACTGAATTAGATGGCGA